AAGGCTATTTCTCTGAAAACAAAATGCATTTCCATTCCTTACAACCAGAAAGCAGCCTGAAGCAAATCTGGCCTTTGAGCTCCATCTAGAGGAAGATGTAAATTAAAATTTATATTGGCATGACACCTTTTTCAAAGTGATTCTTAAAAGTTCTATAAAACATCGCGCAACGTCACGTGACGTCGCAAGTTTGACATGTCTGATATAGATGATGTATAGCAGACATGTCAAACACAAGGCCCGGGGGCTGGATGCGGCCCGCGGTTTCATGTGGCCCACAAAGCCATCCTGGAAACAGTGAGGGAATGGCCCCCTCTGCCTTGGCCCTGGCCCAGGCTAGCCGGGAGCCAATGTACAATTTTATGGTGGCCATCTATGCTGAAATGCATTCAGTCTTAGCTCCACAAGGCTGTCTGGAAACAGCGAGGAACCAGGAGAACCTTGAGCAGCAGACTTGAGGAAGTGGGTGCCACAGGTGCTCAAGGGCCAGGCTGGGCATTTGACCTCTGCTGCCCAGGGCTCCGGGCAGCCCGCACCACCATCCAGCCTCCCCCCCCGCATGGCCTGAGAGGAACAGTGAGGCTCCTCCAATGGACAGTGCCTTGGCACTTGCCCTGGTCCCACCCCCTTCTTCCAGAAACCCTCAGATCTGTCCCACTCCTGCCCAGGCCCCCACAGGCACCCTTGATGCGAACAATGTAGAGCTGGCCACGCCCACCCAGTAGGCCACACCCACTCCATCCACACCCACCCAGTAGGCGAGACCCACCTTGGCCACACCCACCCGGTCCCCTGAGGGCAACCGCAATGCTGATGCGGCCCTCAATGAAATTGAGTTTGACACCCGTGATGTATAGCAATACATGAACCTATTTTTTTTAAGTTAATTCATACCAAAAAATTGTCCTTCCTTCCTTTCCTATATAAACCAAGTTTTTATATACACTAACTGGTCCTGCATTCCACTCGGTTATGTTACCTTACAGATTTCTAAACCCTGAAGAGGATTTAGTGGTGGCAGAAGAACAAAAGGTTATTAAAAACATTCCACCCCAAGAAGGAGGATGTGCAATATGCTCTAGGCCAGGAGTCCCCAGCCCCCAGGTCGTGGACCAGCACCAGTCTGCGGTGCACCAGAAACCAGGCCACGCAAACAAATGAAGCCCCATCTGTGCACGAGTGAGATGCAGGCAGCAAGTGATACTACGCACCCTCCATTCCGCTGAAAAACCTCTTTCCACAGAACTGGTCCCTGGAGTCCAAAAAGTTGGGGGCCACTGCTGCAGCCAAAACACATTATTCACTTCAGCACATGTACACACACAATAATTATATAAATTTTAATTATTAGCCATTAATATTGATTAATGTTTAGATCCTAAGCAAGAGGGATGGGAACATGATCTCTTTTGCCACTCACATACTTACAGTTAACATGGCAAACATGAGCTGGCACACGTTGAAAGCATGCCGCCAGTTGTGATACAGAACCATTCGGTAATTTTTCCTCACTGTCAAAAGCCACCTACACAGTGTCTGAAATGGGAAAGAAAAATTGCCTCAGGAACAAGAACAAGAACAAATGGGTCCTCCTTTGCCAACACAAAAGCAGCTGATTATCTCGGCAGAGCAGATGGTTACCTCATAGTCAATTCTAAATTTCTGAACTATTCCAAGCTCCATGAACATCCGGAGGGCTGCTGTTATCATGGTATCCATATCAAGGGAAAAATCATCAAAGTGGACGTTATCTATACCAAGTTCTGACACCAGAGGGATGTTTGCTGTCTAAAATCACACAGAGAGAAAGAAAAACTTATCAGGCACAATTCAGCAATTTTTCTACTCTCTTTTGTGTACTGAAACGTTCTCTAGATCATTTAGAGGATACATATAACTGGTATAACAGCTATAAGTTTCTGATGCAAATCTGGAAAAAAAAAATAAAATAGATTTTCTGTTTATGCTGAATTGAAGCTTCAGCCAACAAGTATTTCAACTGCATCAAGTTCCATTCATTTAAATTGCTTAACTTTTTGTTGTTGTTGCAATACTATTTCAGTGTTAATACAAATCCTATGGGAGGAGAAATGCAAATTCATGGCCTGGGAAAGAAAACTGGTGTGTATGATGCAAATAGATTCATTAAATAAAAACACGTGTGATATTCCTGATTTTGCTGGTTTCAGATCACTGCCCATACATCAAGGAAAGAAGATGCTTTTGATTGGCAGTTGGGAGGAGGAGGAGGCTTATACAAACCTTGGCATGGGAAACATGCATTCATATTTATCAATAAATGCACTTGTGTGAGCAGAGGTACAATGGAAGCACAGGAAGCAGACATCATAGAAATACCATCACATACTGTAATTGGGCTGCCTTAATAGCAGCTTTGGGGGAATAGGGATTGGATAATAGATTTCTTGTTTTATATTATATATATTTGTTCCTGGCAAATACTCCCTCTTTAGAATTTACTTGAGCTATAGTAAAAAGAGATATTCAGAAATGAATGTAAGTTTCAAAGACCCATATGGGATACCCACTGCACGCCCAAACAACTAGACAAGGACAGTTTTCCCCCCATGCCAACACTGTGCTAAACAACTAATTCCCACAACAGTGTCTTATGCCCTGGGATGTTAAACCACGAGGTAGGGCTGTATTACTATTATCCTTCTCATTTTTCTATTACTTATTCCTTCATCATCTTATCACTATAACTTTGTTGTTTGTATCTTATGATTTATGATGATTGTATTTTATTATCATGATCACGATTTATCACTTGTTACTTGTATGTACACTGAGAGTTTATGCACCGGAAACAAATTCCTTGTGTGTCCAATCATACTTAGCCAATAAAGAATTCTATTCTATTCTATTCTGTTCTGTTCTGTTTTGTTCTGTTCTACTCTACTCTCTTTTTTATTCCCATTTCTATTATCTACTAAAAACATAGCTTTAACTTAAATCATAGTCAAGAATACATTGAATTGGGTACATTGCACAAGGTTGGGGTTTTTGTATTCTACAATCAAAATTCCCTGTAGTCATGTTCATTAAAACCACTTGGTAAGAAAATGAGAGGTGTCTCCTAAATGCAAATATTTGTACAATAATTACTGTAAACATTTCCATTTTTGAGTTTGATAGGAATGAACATTATAGAAGTATACTGCAAGCTAATATTTTATTTTGCTTATCATAATTCATCTATCATATTTAAACACACCCACACCCACAAATCATGGATTAAAGCTGGAAGCAGCAGATAGATAGATAGATAGATAGACAGACAGACAGACAGACAGACACACACACACACATATATATATGTGTATATATATATATGTATATATATATATGTATGTGTGTGTGTGTGTATATACATACATATACATATACATATATATATATGTCTTAAAAACAATGTTAAAAACTGACAGTTGATTCCTGGGAGTGTTCATGATAAAAGCTTATAAATATAAATGAGCACCAGGAAAACAAAACCCTTTAAAATTTTTAAAAAGGTTTTAATAAATAAATAATGACCCAAGCTTTCCGGCCGTAGAAGTCCCTAGGCACAGTCAGTTACCCTCCCGTGAGGAATATAATATCGGCGGAAACGTGGGCCAGGTATCCACGACAGCGCTACAAGGTGGCCGGTTAGTGGCGAGGTTAAGGTAAGAGTAAAGTTACTCAACTAGATGGACCTGGAACGGACGAAGTGTACTAGCAAGGTGTGGGTAAGAGACAAAGAAACCTATTGATTATTTAACACGCACACCTCAGTCTTCCCCCTTTTTCTTTTTCTTCCCTCTCATACCACAGACCCCCACCCCTTCTCTCTCTCTCTCCATCGGGGTTTGGTATTTCTGTAGAGCAGCTGCGCGCGAGCGGGTAATCGGCCCTACAAAGGGACATTGTTGTGCTTTTACTTCTCTTTCCCTAATCTCCTCCTCCTCCCCACCGTCCACCTCCCCCATCCCATCCGGTGGCCGCTGTACTCTACCTACCTGGTCTTTCTTCCCCCCCTCTTGTCCAGACATCCTATCTACCCTCTCTATCTCTCCCCTCTCCTCAATCCACACTCCTCCGTCTGCTCGCCGGGTGGTCGATCCCAGCTCACTCTCCTCCCCCTTGCCCCCAGGGTAAGTATCCAGGCCTTTACATACAATGTCCACATTTGCAGTTAAAACAAAAACTTCTTTGACGGATCCTCCATCAACCTATTTGATATTTCCCTGAATAAAATTGCATGAAATTGTCTGCATGGTAAATCCAGAAATTATAATCCAAGCACTGCTAGCTATCTTTGGCAATGACTAGCGATGCTTGTTGAACATTTTTGAGGTGGAAAAAAAAAGCTGTGAATATAAGTAAATCAGACAATTTCCTGTATATGCATATGCCCTTTCTACTATTCATACAGTATAGAGAAGAGTTTTCCCAGTCCCTTGTTTTATACAAGTTGCTAAACAGTGAAAAGATTACAATAAACTAAAATCAGAAGCATGAATTTTCCTGACGCTGCAGATGAGAAAAGCTATAAGGCTATCTCAGCTGGAAAAATAATAATATATAGCAAATTGATCATAAAGATCAATGAGCAACACAAGTCAAAATTGGTATTTATGTTTTTTTCACTCTATATTTAAACAGAAGTCCAGTAATAATAAACAAAGAAAGCACTAAATTAAAAGCCGAGAGATAACATTTTTATAAAGTAACTGTTTGCTTATGACAGTAAGTCATAAAAATGCCAGAATTATGTAGGGCAATTGAAAGTTATTTAAATAATAGAGAAATATTATCTGTGTGCCTCAGCTGTTGTCATTCTCTCAGCTTTGAACAGCAGAATAAGATGAAAACCATAGCTTTTTAATAATACAATTATAATATATATTCTATAATATTATAATAACTGAGTTATCATAAAAGATAGCTGAATATATTATTAAAATGCTTGCTTATAGCCACTGCTAATCTGAAATTCCAGCTCTTAAATATTATAGATTAGCAAAATGATTGCTGGGAGAACAAGGCAGGCACTGTATATCCTGAAGGTCCCTGAGTGAGCCATAGAATTTCTTCCTCTTCAGAGAACTTCCTGTTCAGAGATACCATCCAGTAATAATAATTCACAGCCTAGACCAGGGGTAGGCAACCTTGGCTCTTTTATGACTCATGGACTTCAATTCCCAGAATTCCTGAGCCAATTCCTGGGAATTGAAGTCCATGAGTCATAAAAGAGCCAAGGTTGCCTACCCCTGGCCTAGACCTAAGGAACCAAGTTTAAAGCCCTTAACAGCATATGATTCACTCAACAACTACAGCGATTCACTTAACAACTATGGCAAAAACAGTCATAAAATTGGTGTGTGACTCAGTTAATTGCCTTGCTTACCAACAGAATAGAAATTCTGGTGTCAGTTATGGTTGAAAGTTGAGGATTACCTGTACAAAGTTCTTATTTTTATATTAAAAACGTTTATATAAAGACCCCATTTTAACATTAGAATATTGTGTTGGTAATGCTAGATTTTAGATATATTTTGAATCTAATAGGTTTTGCTCTTATTAATAAAACAGTCTTAAGTCTTGTTGGTGTATAATGGTTTATAACCAAAATGAAGATTTGAGTCACTGAAATACCATTCCCCATTAATCTTTCAGCTATTAATAAACAAAATACTTAAAAAGTAGGAGCCCTCCAGAGAAACCTCTTCTCCAAAGAAAGCATTCCAAGCACATCAGCATAAGCAAAGCTGACAGCAAATATGGCTTTGTATGTGTACATTTATGGCTGTTGTATGTATATTATTTACGCTGAACGTCAAGCTGCAAAACACAACTGTGTCCACTACATCAGTTTTGTAATGCCTGACATGGGTAGAATAAGGAAATAACCTGGAGGGCAGACCTGATTCAAACATACTAATCTGGCTTAATGTTGTCTGTGAACTTGCCTCAGTAACTTCTGCAACTGCCTGCTTTTTTTTTTTTTTAAATCATACGTGAAATGGACTCTTCCCCACACCGCAGAACTATTTTCATTAGTGGCAGCCCTTCAATTATTTATGCTGTTTTTTAGTTGCTCAAGTAATATTATGATTTTGAAAGGAGAAATACAATTTTGAATAAATAAGCGAGAACCGGTTTGGTGTACTGGTTAAGTCACAAGGTTAGAAACCAGGAAACCGTGAGGTTTAGTCCCATCTTAGGCACAAAGCCAATGGATGATCTTGGGCCAGACACTCGCTCTCAACCCAAGGAAACAGGCAAGAAAAATCCACTTCTGAAATCTGGCCAAGAAAAGTGCAAAAACTTGTCTAGGCAGTCATCAGGAGTCAACAATGACTCAAAGGCACAAAAATCAATCAATCAATCAATCAGCCATCATGAGAAAACAAGACAAGTGATAAAGATAAAATCCTCTTTAATAAGGTTTCCTTCATATTCATTTTATACACACAGCTGTAGAGAGAGGAGGCAAGGAGGAAGAGTAAATTACGCACAAAGCAAGATATGACAAGGACTGAACTATGATTGCACAGACAAAATGTGTAAGAGTACATTTTTTTAAAAAAGGCAACCCAGACTGTATGATAAATATGTGTCTTTTCATATTATAACTCATGTTAGATTTTCTATTGTTATAATGGATATTCAGCATTTTATACAAAATTATTTTATTATTTAATTTTTATTAATATAGCTAAAGAAAGAAAGAGGGAGAGAGAAAAAAAGAAAGAAAGAAAGAAAGAAAGGAAGGAAGGAAG